TTTTTTCTATCGTTGACTATCTTTTTTTGTTCTTCTCATTCATTTAATAAATCATTTATTTGCTCATTATTGTTTAAGTGTTCTTGGTTAAATCTTTGGAGTTGAGAGACCGTTTTTTTATTTAAGCCTAGTTTAAGGTTTTTTATCCTTTGTTGTTTGTTTTTTTGTTGTTCTTTTATTCATTCTGGTTCAGTTTGGTTATTTTCTTCATCCATTCCTGGTTCTCATTCAATCGTTAAGGGTTCTTCTTCCTCTTCGGTGATTAACTGTTGAATAATCGTTTTGATTTGCTGGTAGATTTCATTAATCCTTGCTTGGGCTTCTTGTCGGTCTTCTTCGGGTCGTTCTAAGGCTTTTTGTTTATCTACTTCGGCTCGGAATTCAGTTAATATTTCGGCAAATCTTTTGGGGAGAGGTAAAAAGTTATAATCTTTATTTCAATAGGGGTTATTAGAGATATAATAAATATGGTCTTTTCAGAGTTCAGTTCGGATGTGGATTTCTTTTTGAGTTAATAAGTTAGTTGGTATATTTAGCATGTGGTTTAAAAATAGGTTGAAATAATAATATTATGGTTAGAGAAAATTTGAGAGAAAGAGAAAGTATTAAGCAACAAGTAAGGCAAGCCAGTTATAAGGTAGAGAAAAATGACTGTCAAATTTGTCATAAGGAGATTAAAGAAAGAGAGGGATTTTTTGGCTATTTTGAAAATGGTGATTTGATAATTAATAGTCATTCCAATTGTTTAATTCCTAAATCTATTCAAGAAGAAAAGAAAGTTCGGATAATAACTTGCCCATAGTTTATTTTTCCTTTTTTATTTCTTCTAACTTTTTAAACCTTTCTTCTACTTCTTTACTAAAAACTTTTACTCCTTCTTTATAAAACTTTTCATAAATTTCTTTTCAAAGGAAATGATGTCCATCTGTTTTATCAAGAAAGTCAACTAATTCATAGAGTGGGTCTTTTAGCAATTTATAAGAACAATGAGAACTTTCATGAGTAGTAGTTGGTAAAAATCCTCCTCCTTCGGTTTTGCCAGCAATAGCACCGTGAACCGATTTACCTTCTTTGGTTCGTAAAGTTTTGGTAGCTAAATGGATTTCTTGGGGTATTCATTTATTACCAATCTTTATTATTTTGCTTGTTCCTCAACCAGTAAACATAGGAGAATGTTTTACTTTGACATTTTCTTTGGGTAAGAGATGATTGACTATTCGTTGGGCTAGTTCAACCTGTTCCTCATCTCACTTCCTTAATTCCTCCTCCCTCACCTCAATCAACTTCTCTCGTTCTTCTTCATAATCTTTATTATCTTCCATCACTATCCTCCCTTTTGGTTCTAAAAAACCACAACTCAAACACTGAAAATAACTTTCTTCCTGAGGAGGGGAGTTTCTTGCTCCACACTTAGGACACTTAATATAAGGAAGAGACATATAATTAATTTTCCATATTCTCCACTCACCCTTCAATCATCTCGGGTTTAAAGCATTCACAACCTTTTCGATGTTCCCCTGTTCTTTCTACGGCAAAAGGACAGGCTGGTCGTCCTCTTTTGACATCTCCAAAATCTAATTCTCATTCTTGAACTATCGGTCAATCATAATCATGTCAATCGGTAGGCAACATCCCCTCCCCTGCTAATAAAAAGGCTTCATAGGCTAATCTTTGAATATTACTTTTTAATTGTCGGACCCCTCATTCTTTACAGAGACATTTCTTAATCAAATCTAAATCAAATTTAGCTTTTAAATTAGAAATCTCATATTTAGCAAAATTATAATCAATTAAGCCTTGGGCTACTTCTATTCTCTCTTTAAAAGTTAACGGTTCAATTTTTACTCGGGTTAATCTACTTAATAAAAATGGTTCAATGTCTTCGGGATAGTTAGTTGTGCAGAAAAAGATTACTTCATTAATCGGCACGGGAAAATCAAAGAAAACATCTTTAAATTTCTTGTTCAGAGTTTCATCAGTTAAATTACCTAAAACTTGCTGAACGGCTTTATCACACTTTTCAAATTCATCTAATAAGATAATGGGAACTCGGGTTTTATACTTAATCATCGTTTTTAAGATTTCCCCCACTCCTGCCCCTGCTCATTCTTGGGGAACCCCAAAAAAGATACTACTTTCTTTTTTACCATTCATACTAATTACTTCAATATCTAAGCCCATAGCCTCAGCCAACATTTCACTAATAAAAGATTTACCCACCCCCGGAGGTCCCAAAAGTAAATACATTTGGCAAGGTTTATCAATTTTCATTTCAGTTAATCGGTTATAACCCCGAACAAAAGAAGCAATCATTTTTTTAAACTCTTTAAAGCCGACTACTCGGTTAACTTTGGCTCAAAAGGAGGCTTGTTGCAATTGTTCATCGGTAGTTTCTAAGGGTAATTTTTCCTCAGGATTACCAACTTCACAAACTTTTATTTCTTTTTTATAACCCTCGATTAGGGCTTCGGTAAAAGTTAATCGTAAATTCAATTTATCTTTAAATACTCCCGAAGTCTTTTTTAATTCTTTAATTAATTGTTCTTTTCTTTTTTCTAATCTTTCGATAGTGTATAATTGGAAGGTGGGTTTTTCCCCGGGATGTTCTTGCTTAAATTTCTTTTTCCATTCACTAAAAGAGAGTTCAGGTTCTTCGGTTTGGATTTTAGGTTTTTTTTCCTCGTCGGGTTTTTGCTCTTCTTCTACTTCTTCTCAATCTTTAAAAATATGTCTTTTAGTAGTGGGGTTATATTCGACTTGTCCTTCTAATCCATAAGAAGAATAAAAGAA